GCTGACAAGTTTCACATAAAGAGAAGATGTGATTGTGACTGTTGAGTCTAGCCTGGATACTTCTTAAAGTTGCTCTTCTTTTCCTTTAATTTTAGGTTCCGAACAATTATAACGGACGATTTTTTAAAAATTTGTTTCTATTTCTAGTTCTTCCACTGTCACTCTAACAAGTTAATTGATACTCACCCACACAGCATTTAAAGAGTAGAAACAATCACAATTTACCAGCAGAAATCATGGAAATGAGGTATCTCCGTGATGTAGTAGTGTGCATTTTAATCCTTGTATTTCATGGATATTGAACTCCACTGAGTACCTACAGAATGCACCTCCTGTATTATTGCTGCTCATCCGTGATGATGGTGTGGTTTGTTTGATTATTCCACTTTACTTCTAGGTCCTCCTGGTCCCCCAGGGGTTGTAATAGTGGAGGAAATTACAGACACCACAGCAACACTCTCCTGGAGTCCTGGGGCAGACAATCACAGCCCTATCTCCCTCTACAACCTGCAAGCACGCAGTCCATTTTCTCTTGGCTGGCAGACCGTGAAAACAGGTGAGAAAAACTTTCAAACAGCACAAGTAGACTGTTCAGAACTCCTGATCATCATAATAACAACCACCGACAACTGCAGGAACAGATACTCTTAAGAGAAAAATGATAAATTAAAAACACTGATTTTTTTTTTCTTTTTTCATTCCTTTCATGTTACTTAGCAACAGCTCTCAAAGGACAACACAAAGACACCTGCCATGATGCATCTGTGACTAAGCAGAAAGCTCTCCCCTATATCCTTCAACCCGTGTCTTTGCAGGAGTACCACAGTGCCAAAAACCTAGCTGTGATTTCTGACATTAGATCCTTGATGTCTGCCATTTCTAATGGCCATATTGTATCACAAAGTCCACTTGCCATTGAGACACTGCATGTGTGCTTCAGGTTTCTGAGTGACCTACACATTTCTTTACTGTCTGCAGTTCCAGATGTGATAAGTGGTGACATGGAGTCTGCTATGGCTGTTGAACTGAACCCTTGGGTGGAGTATGAGTTCAGAGTTGTAGCAACCAACAAAATTGGGACCGGAGACCCAAGTGCACCATCACGAGTGATCAGAACCAACGAAGCAGGTAAGAAGAGTATAAAAAAGTTAATTTTCCAGGACTATCAGAAACAAGAACTATTTTAATATGGCAATAGAACTATTCTCTTCTCCCTAGTACACATCTGTGTGTTCAGTCATCGCTGTCCCAGGGTGATATTCTTTGTAATGGGGAGACAGTTTGTTTTAATTACAGGAATATGTTTTAATTTACCAAAATTTCAAATAAACCCATTCTCTGCTGTCCTCCATCTGGGCTGCCTTACTCTTCATCTTACACTTAAGCCATTGCTGCCTGCCCTCTGTCAGGCTTCCACTGTTCTTTGATTGCAGGCTGCTTCTCAGCCTCTTCACGCAACTGCTCCCAAGCAGTCTTTCCCCCTTATTCTTCACAACTTCTCTCCTTGAAGGTGCACAGAAATTTCTTCAGCAAGACAGGGAAGCTGCTTAATTTGGAATACCTTGTGGTCTAAAGTGTTTCTTTGTCATCACACTCTACCATGAACTGTTAGCGCGCTTACAGAAGTTTCATTATATTGCTAACTGGGGTGGTACTTTGGGAGCCCAGCAAAAACGTTGTATATCTTATTTGGGTCTCTTGACAATTGCAGTGGTCTTGGAAATTTTTCAGTCATTGACAGTAACTTAGGCAGAATGAAAGGAGATAAAGAAGGATTGGGAATCTGAGAAAAAATCCCTAGGCAATTAGGGACACATGTTTTAAGAGGCAGAAAAAGATAGATATAGGGTTTGAACAAAACCTTAGAAGAGAACCGTATCTCAGAACAGTTTCAGATTATTGTTTATTCTTCTTTGTTATTTAGGAGGCATAGAGAGTTTTAATTTTGTTTTTATGTTTCTTTAGCTGAGTAATTTGTAAGTAGTTTATTGATCATATTAAATAGAAGAGTGCCAAATTCAAGAATTCCACTTGAATTTGAAAGTATAACTGATTTTGTAGTTGTAAATATTCTGGACAAATACAGCAGTTGTGTTGCACTCTGTCTTCTCATTAAAGGAGATTGTAAGAATTACAAGTGGCAATACCAAAATGTGTCCACCCCTCATTCTGAAACAAAATTCTTATCCTTTAAGGTATGTTAATTTTGTGCCTCAGCTCCATAGTTCACTGGTGTGTGTATATGCAACGCATAAACATTCACAGTAGAAGGTTCAGGCTGATTTTCTTAGATTCCACAGAATCAGCTGAATAACTGGGGCTGGAGGGGATCTCAGGAGGTCTGTAGTCCAGCTTCCCATCTTCCCATTCAACACTGGGTAAACTGGCTTCAGAGCAGGTGGCTCAGGACTTTGTCCAACTGAGTCTTTGCAGCCTCCAAGGAGGGAGATTGCACAACCTTTCTGGACAACCTGTGTCAGCAGATAACTAATCTCGCTGTGATAGTTCTTTCAATGTATCCGGTCAGAACTCCCCCTATTTCAACTTATGACCAGTGTCTCTTGCCCTCCCACCCTGCATCACTATGAAGAGCTCATCTCTGTCTCCTCAATGACATCCCCATAAGCACTGGGGGCTGCTGATCCCCCAAAGCCGTCTCTGCTCCAGGCTGAACAAGCCTAGCTCCCCCAGCCTCTCCCCACAAGGCAAGTCCTCCAGCCCCACCATCCCAGTGGCCTCCTCAGAACTTGCTCTAGTTGATCAATGTCTTTCTCATTGTGGCACCCAAAACTGGATGCACTGTTTCAGATGAAGTCTAACAAACCTTTCTTCAGCTGTTTTAAGACATAATAATTTTTTTCTACTTTAAATAACTGCGTAGTTGCTAGCTGATATTAAACTTCACTGTGCAACCACAGAACTGTACTGAAGTGATTTGATTCCCATTCATGCATGTTCTTTTCCAACTCTCCCCCTCATCTTCTGCAAGCTCCCCACAGTGTGAAACTCGATAACTTTATAGCAGAAGCTTCAGGTGCTTCATATCTTGTTCCATTAAGAAAAGAAGGAGAGGAAAATGAAATTAAAAACATGAGCTACTTTTATTTCAAATTATTTAAAAAAAAAATTATTTCACCACCATTCTTCTTTCCCTGATTTTGTACCGTATTTCATTGGCAGTGCAAATTCTGCTGGACCCAAATGTTTGAATAACCTCTATTTATTCAGGAGGTACAGATTAGAGAGGACACAAACATTCTGGAAAAAGTTTACCATGTAATAGGTTGCACCCCTGGGATTATGTCCTTTCAGATTTATTAATATGTTCCCTGTTTTTGAAAGGATGGTTCAGGTTTTTAACCAACCACATGTATTTAAGCTGTGAGCAAATGTTTTCAACACAAACTGTAGTTTGAAAGTGTTAGATCTCATCTAGCTGTCATGTTTTTAGGTTCCTTCTTCTTCTTTCCCACTGTTTACCAAACAAAGGCTGTATTTACTAAAACGTATCCCTGCAACTCTAGAGAAGGTCTTTTTCATGCACATCCATTTTCAATATTCCTTTGGACAAGCATTGCAACTTCAGCTCTGTAAAAATGAATTAATAAATCAAAATAATAATAATAAGTAAAAAAAAAGTGGGAGAGTCAAAGCATGCAGCATGTGGTGTATTTTCACCTGGCGATTGGTATTAAATTCTGGGTAATGCTGCAGTATTGCTGCCATCGGAAGGAACAAAGTCTTTAACTCAAGTAGCAATGATCTGTACTCCAGTACACGGGGCTCCTCCTGATCAGCAGCACTGTCGCTGATAATAATGCAGGTCTTCTTGAATAGTAAATCGTATTTATTGAACATATTTGAACATATTAGTTCAAATAGGAAAAAGGCCACACTAGATGCTTCCTCGCACTTTCAGCTTCCCGGTTAGGAATACCTTTTTGCTACCAGAGTTACAGCTGCACAAATGTCGTGTTAGAAGGGAGTGTTTTGTAGCATGACATTGAAATCCAGACCGGTGCCAGTAAAACAACTTAACAGCCTTCAGAGAAATGGAAGCTGATGTTATTTGGTGTGCTTGCTTAACATGGCATGACAACAGCAGAAATCTGTTGTCCTCATCATCGCCTCAATTTCAAAAGTTTGGTTTCTGTTTCAGTTGTGAATGGTTGTGGGTCTTGTGGTTGGGTTTTTTTTAATAAAAAAATATATGCAGCCTCATTTCTTTATTCTATAGAGGGAGTAAGAAGACAGGAGTTACAATAAGATATAACTTCCCAATTTGTTAGAACCTGCAAAGAGTTGTAAAGTCAGAAAAATAACACAATAGACTCTGCTTTAAATAAAAAAAAACAATAAAAAACCCTGTTACACACATAATTCTTTGTAAAATAACATGCTGCTTATAATTTTTTGTGGCACTCTCGAAATGCCAGAGGCTTCATGATCTGTTTCACGCAGGCAGTCACTTTTTCCTGGTCTCCAGATACTCCTGAAGCCAAGAGCCTGTTTAGCTCTGTCCTCTGGCACAGCTCTTTCAGGGACTGGGTTAATTATCACCCTTGGTATAGTTTTCAGATGCCAAAGTCAGACACAGAAAAGCTAGTAATAGTTTTCATTGGGCTTCATACATGGTTTTGCAAATCAGCACATTAATATCTATCTTAGTGTTACCCAGTGATCTATTCTTTTTCAGGATCTCTCTATTACTAATTTTTTATCTGAAAGCTTCAAGCAAAAATCTCTATTAACATGGGCTCCAGTTCTAATATCATAGATCTCAATTATTAAAAGGCACATATGTGAAAAGACATCATATTTCAGGAAGACCATGGCATCAACCTCTCTACTCATGACCTAGGCAGAATTACCTGGCTATTGGCAGCCGTGTTACATGTGCCCCACAGGTGAAAAAAGGCAGGCTACTCCTCCACTGGGTGAAACTCCAGAAATATCGGTCTCTTAGCAGAGGGAGTGACTGTGGCTCATGTTTAAGTGAGAGCTGAGATCTACAAGGCTGAATGATAGCTGTATAGACATCCCACAGAGGCAGAAAATGTGTGATTCTGCTTCCATCGTTTTATACTTAAATGAAAATTGGCATCTGTAATGCAATGGCACAAGCTAATTTGACCGGAGACTAAAGTCTTTTTCTCTCCCCACACCTCACTTATTTTATCACTTCTTCCACAAGATTTATATTTTATATATATTTTATATTAGTCCATTATCTAAAAATACCCGTGGAAGCAATACTTGGGATGCGTAGGGAAATCAACAGAATAATAAACAGGTTTCCACTTGCTTTAATTTTCTAATTAAACCCTAATCTTGTTACTTACTTTGTATTTAGTTAACATGATTGCTTTTCATAGCTACTTTCATCGGAATGGATAATACTGCAATTTTCTGGCACATCTAACTTATAGCCAGCTGCTGCATTTCTGTCAGTTCTAGCCTTGATACATATTTTAGAGGTCCACAAGGTGAAAAGAGCCAATAACATGAATTTAAACATGTTTGGCATTCCACTAAAGCAGTCAGGCATTTGAAGCCTGGGGGCAAAGCATCAATTACATTATCTATTCATGGGGAAACATGGGGAGAGAGAAATTGAGTAAAGTTTAACCTGCTAATCATGCATGCAAACTTGATTTTATGAAGTAGCAATGTAATGCACTCTATTAGTAGCAGATTGTACACAGGCTTTATTTTTAATAAGCCCTTATTTCCATTATGTTGCCCTTATTCTCAGGTAGAATTTCTTCATAGCATAACAAGAAATGGCTCTGTCCCAGGAAAAAAGTTACCTGTTTTAGACTGGCTTTGTTTGGGGTTTTTTGTTGATGGTGTTGGTGGTGTTTTATTCATTTGTGACCTGTATAAAAGAAGTTTCAGCTTTTCCCATTATCATAGCTATTTTTGCTCTTGAAAACGTTAAGAACCTGCTGTATCTGTGATATTTGGAGATGATTACCTGGGCTAAAGCCTTTGTAGAAAATGTACTTTTCCATAGGGAAAAACAAAAGAAGAAGAGAAAGTAGACGGTAATCATTGACTGCTTGGGTATATTTAGAACAAATAGGCTACTAACATAATATTGCAGGCTCAAACTAATAGTCAATACA